TTTTCAGTAGGAGTGTACTTTTTGTAGGTACCTCGGCTGCTTCTACTTTTATCACCTAGAGTATCACCCGCCATAGCTTCAGCCACTTTTTCATTTGCTGCCACAATCGTCGACGGTGGAACTACTTTTGACAAAGGTCCTTCGGGAGAAGGCAAAACAGTTAGGGAATCATCATTGACCTTGCTACTAGGCTTAAAGTAGCGATAGAGAGACATCAGCTTGAGAACACGACTTGTTTAGACAAGAGGGCATGCGCACATGTGTATTCTAGGTGTGGTAGACCACTCCCTTTAATTAATTTATTTTCGGGGGCTTTATTTTTCGTGATGCAAACAGTGATCACAAAATACCAAAATTTGTTCCTCATGAAATTTTTTGGCTATACGGTAGTAAACAAAGCCCAAATTAGTGAAAAGTACAATAGAGGGATGGGTAGGGCATAATGCAAGAGGAGAAATCAAGGGGTTGGGAAGTTGACTCATTACAGCAGGCAAAAGCCAGCTCATCCAGGTTGAAATATAAACGGGTGAGGGGACCCCAGCTTCTGGGAATTAAAACATCTTAGTACCAGAAGGAATAAGGGCACATTATTTATTATATTATATGTGTCTATAATTAAGTAACTTGATACAGTATAGTGGGAAATTTTGGAAGGAGTTAAATTTGGCAAATTGCCGAAATTCGGTGTTGGCAAATTAGTGGCCACATGCCAGTAAGCATGCATACAATGGATCAAAATGGCAAATTGTATTTTGGTCAATGGCAATCCAAATGCCCAATTCGCCAAATTTAAGTTCTTCCAAAACTTCCTGCTATACAGCACATCTGCTTGAAGAAATGAATGCAGTCAAGGAAAAGTCACGTAGCTATACTATGTCCCAACTGAGTTTGGACCAACAAAAACTTGAATAACTTTTTATAGGAATTGGGACAATTACGAGACTTTCAAAAGCTCTTAGTTGCCCAATGCCGCTTCAGGATCTCAGATCTTGGGTTTCTCAGCCCTTGGTAACCCTGAGAACCTGGTTCCCCTTATAAACCCAATGGCATACCAAAGCTTACCACACTGATGTTCTGTGATGTCATAGTTTACATAAGCAAGTGTGGTCAAGCACCCAAACTGATAATTCCTCTTTTAAAAAGCTAACAGAGCAAGATCTACTGATAATGATGGCCTTTATGAAGACTAGTTGACTCCAGGAGTTATGATACTGCTTATCAGGAAGAACAAGACTGTTTTAAAAGTGAAAGAACACAGCCAAAATATTTGCCATGGCTCTGTGAGTATCATTATAAGGCATCATTATTGATGTACCTACATTTTTCAAATTCCAATGTAGCTGCTAGCACTTCCGATCCATTCTCAGTAGGGACATAATACAAATTGTTCTTAAGTAACTCAACAGCATATTTGTTGCATCACTAATAGAATACCAGAATTGCAACTATTTCATTACATTGCACACTACAAAGTCTTCTTTTTTGTTATTACAGCAAGACACAAGTCTAATTCACAAATTGCACAGATATTTGGGCAAGGCCATGATATAAGTTTTTCTTACAACTATATTTTTGGGACATATTAGCAATACCAAACAATTACACAGCAAAAGAACAAAGAAATAGTATAAACTTACTGACTGAATCCTTTCTGCTCTTGATTGAGCTAAAGATGTTGGACATTGAATAAATCCATAAGTAATGTCACTATAAAAAGTACAAAAAATATTTACATTTATACAGAAATTACTGCATCATAATAAATTGTCAATTTAGTAAATTTGACAGGATTTACTTGTTAAAAATTAAAGTGAAGCCTAAGAATTTTTAGGTTGCTTTTGCTTTGCAAATCGAAATAATCTATTTGCATATAAATTCAAAGTACAAAATCAACTACTAAACATTTACGGGTGCTGCACCACCACCCACACACAATTTTTAATCTGGTGCTAAGGGATCTGTTTTTCCAAAAGTACTTCACCAATCATAATGAAACCAGTACTAGTTACAAGACAGTCACTAAATTAGTCTGTAAGCTAGCTTACAGCCTTCAACTGATTACCCAAGACACATGCATAGGCGTAATGAAGGGTAAAGCAGTCATCCAGTCAGTGTACTGTATAGCCAAAAATTTTCAAGGCTTAAAATTTCGTGAATAATGAAATTTATGGAGAAATTTTAAATTCCGTGATAAATATTTTCGTGATTTTATTTTAATAATAATAATAATGACACCGCGCCTTATTTAATTAAAACATGGCAGATTCAATGTTTTAGACGGACTCTTGTGTCAAGGGGCACCATGTCTACAAATCAGTGTGGACACCAGTGATGGAGAAGATCATCATCTTTGACCTAGGCAGTATGCTTAAAATAGCAATACAGAGTAACAGAGACATCAGCTTGACCGAGAACACGACTTGACACGAGGGCACATTTATTAGTAAGCGTGGTTCACCACGCCTCTCAATTAATATTTATTTTCAGGGGTTTAATTTTTTGTGATGCAAACAGTGATCACAAAAATACGAAAATTTATTCCTCACGAAATTTTTTGGCTATACGGTATGTGTGTGTGTTCCAATGACCTCCCCTTTGGAGCTGACACTGCTTTCTTGCTAGTCCAGGAGAGTCTTATAATCAACACTGGCTCTAAAAAAGTTATTTTCCGTTTTGGGAATGCTTGATTTATTCTTTCTGTGGAAACAAAAGTGGCAAAGTTGCCAAACGTTGTCAGTTTCCCGTTAGCTCTTTCGTAGTTAGAGAAAAAGAGCAACAGGGCAGATAAAACAATAAAGCAAAGTAAACATCAGGGACTCAATAGCAATTTGTATGCAACAAATAGAGCCTAACAAATGTATGTAAACAGTCTAAAAGTCAAGAAAAACTAAAGCTTTCTTCACCAATTAGGACCATGCAGCTGTGCAGCAAACATGCTGGCTGTCCAAAAAACATTCTCTGTTAGACTGTCTCAAAACAATCACTAAGTTTTAATAAATCTAGTACATGCTGAAGCTTCTTCTCTGTCTCAAAACTTTCACTATTTTCTCTTAATTTATTAAAAACTGTTACATACGAATTGTGTCAAGGGCATGCACTTTAGTGCTCTCATTATAGCTACAGTGGAACCTGTGCTAACGGTCACCTGAGTAGTGAGGTCACCTCTCTATTACAGCCATAAGCCAAAATCCAGATCAAGACCTGTACAAAAGGATTAGCTATTGACTTGTCTAATGCGTCCCTGGATATTGCGTAAAGCGGCCACTCGTCCAAGTCCACTGTCCACTTTCATCTGATAGAACCTTGCTACTATGGTCAATCACAAACCACACCCAATATTAATTATTGTTGAGTTTATTAATTCTTATTCAGTTTAACAATAATTTAATTATGATGCATATCAGTCATATCAATCAATGCAATTACTTCCTTGACCTGTATACCTTAGGGTAGGTATTAATTGCGCTCTTAAATTTTAGCGTTTTTAGGGGACCCTAATTTAGCGAAATGTAATATTAGCGAAAATAGGAAGATAATCAATGGTAAACCCCCCATTCACTAGCATAACACTTCTCAAGAAGCCCAATCTATACATTTAAGAGCAGAACACTTAACAAGACCACCCTATTTACTGTTATCTTGTTACAGATCTTGCCTATCTTGTGTACTTGTTTACACAAGTACATAATAACTATTAGGCTGATTGAATTAAGGATTTGAAGTATACTCGCTAAAAATGCTAAAATTAAGTGTCGCAATTAATACCCACCCTAAGGTAAACAGGTCAACTATTACATAATGGTCAATGGCTGTATTACATACGCTGACATGTAATGTAGCTACGAACATAATCAGGCCATTTAGCACTGGCCCAAGGGTGACCGGCAGGTTCCACTGTATGGTATCAAGAGCAAAAATACTGAAGAATTTTTAATAGCAAAAAACTCCTCTTACTCTCAATTTGATTTATCAGATTTCTAGGTGAAGGCAGTTTTACTAGACAAATTTATTCAACAAGGAGATATTTTTCTTTTTCCACTTCAAATACCATTCATTTTAATGTTCGTATTGATCGACACATTTTACTATACTAGATTTGTTTAATTGAAATGTCTCTATGTTACGTAATCATGTAAAAGGCTCTATTGTAAATTTGGCCTGATTCTGATCACCACAGGCAAAGTTTATCAAAATTCTGCATTTTTCTGGCATGAAACACTAATTTCAAAATCTAACTTTTATTTTACAGCTTTTTTCGGAAGCCTATATACTTTTACTCCCTTTTTTAAAGGTGCTTCATAAAATTGGAACCCATTTATAAGAACCTAACAAGGTTCTTACATGGGACACTTGTATGGCTTCAACATTCCTTAATAAGATAATTGTTGCTATAGGGAGCACCTTTAATATTTCTCAAATCACTCTCGGCAATGATCCCATATCATTATCAAAACAACAAACAGGTTATGTATCGCAGGCCTAAATGAAGTGCACTAGTTCCTAAACAAAACTTTTCCAGGTGAAGTAGAAAAATCTACAGGCAAGGAAAAAGGCAAAATTTAATAAGTCAGGCAGACTAAACAACTACATCTGTCAGGATAAAGAAGTTGTTGAATGAAAGATCATGAAATTATTTGTAGCAAGAGTTTCAACAAATAACTACTACAAGTGAGGTCTATAAAGCAAATGATATGACATTTCTTCCAGCAAAAAAAGACCATAGCCTTCATAGCAATCATTATTAAAGACAATGTCAGTAATAATGTACATTCACTATAAATGAGCAGCAGACTGAGATTGAGACAGAATCATACCTTGAACATTTAAGTGTTAAAACCGAACTTTTAGTTTGGTGGAAAAGCAAAGTACAGACCATAGACAGTTTTTGACAACTAGCTCAGAAGTAAATGTAATTGTGACCATGAATGTTATATGAGTGGGTAATGTTCACTTTGTTGCTTGTAATGCCCAAAATGTGAAAAATACTCTTTTGTCAGACAACTTGTATAATGTGTGTAGTGCAATTTAGCTTTAAAGAGTATATAATTGTGAAATATTTACTCATTATTTACATAATAAATAATTGCTCAATAACGCTTTGAAACATTTAAAAGGAGCTTTAGTTCTAACTGGGTCAGAAATTTCTACTTATATTAACCACACATACATGTACATGTAACAACAATGATGAAATAAGAGAGAACATGCAATAGAGGGAGCATTAATATTACACAAGAGTTCACACTGCATGCCATGAAGAACTGTTCCAATACAACTACAAACTAATGCCTTAACATGTGAATCATACAATATACACAATGTATATATTAAAATCTTACTATTCCTTTTGAAGAAGTTCATTATGCATTGAACATCGAGGCGAACCATCAGAAGAACTAGAAAATATAAAATAAAAAGATCATAACAAAGCAATACAAATAAATAGAACTAGAAGTACTTCAGAGTGTCATTGATGAACGTGTAGGTCAGGCTTCTTAACACAAACGCCACTTCTCTTCTGCTTAATTAAATGTATAAACACTTCCAAACACAGTAGCAAGGTTTCAAAAGTATGAGCAACGAGTGCACTAGTGTGCATATGCCCTTGCCACAATCAGTGTATAGCAGTTTTATCTGATTAAGTGAAACTTAGTGACAAGTTTGAGACAGAAAAGAAGTCTAGCATACTGCACCGCTGCTAGCAAAAGGCAGCAATGAAGGTGTGGCTCAATCAAGCTATGCTACAACTACACACACAGTAATGGTGTACTGATGCTAGGGGAATAAGGCATGGGAATGTCATTAGCTGAGAATGGGCAACAGCTGGTAAAAAATAGGGTCAGGCCATAGCCCCAGTGGAAAAGGATAAGTTGCTCTATTTGAAGCTATAGAAGATTTTGCATGTAACAGGCCTATTCCAAGGCAGCATTTAACAACCAGAACAGCAGCAAAGTATCCTTTAATCTTAGAGAGGAATGCATGTACTTAGTGAGTGTAGCTCAGAGAGTAAAAATTATAAGTAAAGTCTGCTGGGTGGCCAGTATTAATGTTTTTCGGAACAAAATAGATGTAGTGTTAGTGTTAAGGTGAGGCTTAAAAGCAGTGCTAGCACTTTGCGAGATCCAAAATTTGATATAAAAATTGTTACAAAGAATCAAGATTGCCTTTTATTAATATCCTTTAACAAACCAAAGTTCAGCCTTTTCCAATACAACTTTTGTTACTAAAGCATTGTCAAAACTTCTTGTGGGGTCTACATTAGAAAACACACTTAAGGCTTGCAAGCCTGTTATCAATACTCTCAAGAAACATAATTTGATCGTTAAATTTGAGGTAGGGTTTCTGTGGAATGATCACACAATCTTTCTGAGCTTATTTTAAGTGTGCTACTTACATTTGACTTTAAGTTTAGGTTTGATCAAAAAAATCAAAATACATGGCATTTTTTGGAGTTGCAATAATAGGAATATTTTGTGTTTACAGTCTTACAATTTCAATTTGTTAACATTCAAACTACTAAAACTTTCTTGTAATTTTTCACTAAAAAGCACAAATTCCACTATAATGCAATACCAAGACACATCTGAAATTAGTTGTGTGTTGGTGTCAGGAATAAAACATACTTAGAAATACTTTGGTGTTTGCTTTTCCAGTCTCCCTTCAAAATCCAATGAAAACAATGCTCAAAAAGCGAGGTACTTTCTTTCCCCTTATCTTGTATGATATGGCTTTTTGGACGATGATCCCGACGATTTTTTAACTATTGATAAAAAAAAGAACAATTACAATTTTCTATGTAAAAAAACAAATTTAGTGCATGTGCACGTACAGTAGAAGACAACAAAAAATTTGTGTTCCCTCTATGTTAAACGGCAATAAAACTGTAGCTGCATTTCCATTTTCATTATCAATGCTTCGTTCATTGTCTGTTGGGTCTGGGCAGTACCATTTTTGTTAGCACGGACAAATGCTCCAAGCGTTGCTCAACTTTTCTCTTTTCAGTACATTTCCTACAGTTTTTTAAGGAGTCAGGCTTTCTTAGATACACTTACGAGACAGGTAAATTGTAAACGTAGCAACATGCACCAATTAAGTGATCCACCTTATTCTCATGTTGTATGATTTAATAAGAATACAAGTAGTTAAAAGAAAGGATGCTCTGTCAAGCAAAAAAGCAACGATTATAATATTATTATCATTTATAAAATGCATGTCACCTGAATCTTTTATAATTAAAAATTATAACACAAGTTATAGAAAGTAAGAGTATAATAGTGATAGAATTATAAAAATGATACTGAGAACTAATGCTTGTTACAAAAAAATTGCAGTAAATTAGACTACACAGAGCCTGGTAAACAAAGTTTTTAATGGCTTGTACTATATAATAATTTGAACAATACTTTATGTTGTGCAACCTAGACAAAAAGAACAAAATTCTCAAGAGTGTCCAGGATTGAATCACGACTATGACTAAGTAAAACCTCCGTAAAACTTATTGCAATTAATGCTAGCAACATGAAACTTCACATTATTGCATAACAGGTTCTTCCGCAATTCTGGATTAATTTTGGAGTCCTGGCAGGTTTTCCACAGCTTTCTCCAGTCTCCATCAAAAAATCCGCCATGATGTTGCATTACATATTATACCCCTGAATATCAATAGCATCTCATTAAATTTGTCAACAATTGTCTTTTATTTGTTTTAAAATAATACAGAGCAAACGAAATGCTCAAGACCATAAGAAATATTAATTGACTAAAAAGCCCAGCACTACAGAATAAAGCCTCAGTTCCTCTGATGTACCTCTCAAATCCTTCATAACTGCTGTCACTTTTTACTACTCAGAAAACCCTTGCTATCTTGCATTTCTTTAACTCTTTTTTTAAGTAATAACAACAACTAGATCCTGGAAGTAAGATGTAGAGGAAATAGAACCCAAAACAAGAAAATCAAGGAGTTAGAGGAAGGAAAAAAGAGCACATTGTAATTTCAGCCATTTTATTTGTGTGTGTGGGCAAGGCTACATATGACGTTTTGATAATTAAATCTTTTTGTCAAACTCAAGTCAAACTGATTATACATACACATGTACATAAACAATAGAGACTACATAACCGGGATAGGAAATGGGATCATGTGATCCATTACATTGTGTATAATCATCCATGTCCTCCTCCACCATGTTGGCCTATCGTCAGTCAGTTTTTGTCTTTTCTACAAAATCTGAGGGATTATAGGGACATTTTTACGTTGCATCATGTGGTAAGTATTGTATTTTATCATTTACTATTGTAAAATAAGCTTGCTATTGCATTGGCAATACAATAGCCTTGCTATAAACAAGAATTTCTACTCATTTTCGCCTTGCCTCCCTCTGTAGGACACAGGTTCATTTGGCTTACTTTGGAATTGACTCTGTTACAACCTAAATGGTTCAGCTCGTTGCTTACGCTATGTATTCAGATCCATACAAACTTTATCCTCCACCTCTTGAGACAGAATAACATGCAGACTCATACATTTTTGATTTGTCTGAATTAAAGATTTTAGTTTCGTTTAATAATAATATTGATATGTTGATTCAATGATAGTTGTTGCTGTTATTTGTTTAAATTTTTTAATCATGGCAGTTTTTGTTTTTAATTGTGCAGCACTTTAGAGTAGTGTAGATCTATAAACCAAGTTAATTCTTTAATAACTAATCATAACTAGTATAATAATAAGACGCGGAGTGTATCTCTTTTCCAATCCCGTATACATAGTCTCTAATATCTATGATACATGCCGTATAGCTGGTTTATTTCGTGGCCTCAAATTTTTGCTGCTTAAATTTTCATTAGAATTAATTTTAGTGCCTTGCTAAATTTTTGTTAATATTTAATTGGTTTTAATAAAATTTAGTGGAATTAATTTTAGTGGATTTGAGCCTGCACGAAAATTAATTCCACACGAAATAAACCAGCTATACGGTATGTGGATTGCTATGTATTTCAGAGTTACACCCATGGAAAGAGCAAGGTTAGAGCTGCAAGATGATACAAACTCATCAGGCCGTACCTTAGTCTATCTTTGATAAATTAGGTCACAAATTCTGGTAGTTAAAAATTTGCAAATAAAATATTTTCATCATTGTAAGACTATACAAAAATATTTCCACAACAAAAAAAGGCAATATACAAAATTAATACACGTAACTAAGTTGTAATAACAGCACCAATTTTGGAAAAACAACCTGAATCTAAATTAATAACATATATATAAAATTAAACTTTGTGTAAAAAATTTCTCCAGAAAACACTTATTCTACAGCAGCAGGCAAATATTAGTGATAGAGTATAATGTGTGATACAAATAAATTATTCCAAATTAACAAGAAAAATGTGAAGTTAGTGAACAAAATATTTTCTCACAGTAACTTACATTTTGAGGATTAACTCTATGAGCTTGCTCCTCACGAGGTATTAAAACTCCTACTATACGATCTTTACACTATATAATTATAGCACAAGAATTAACATATGCAAGTTCATGATTAAATAACGCAAGCACAATTTAATCACAACTGAGAATGTTCATACAAGCACATGAAGCAGTAATAACACAAGGCAATTTTCAAAATTGGCAAAACCAAACATAAATTGTTTAAATAAACTCATAACAAAATAAGAATGCCAACCTGCACTGCTGAACGTTTCGTTTTTCCTAATGATGTCACAAAATCAGCTAAAATAGTCCAATTAGGCATTTGTGCAGGCACAGTAGTATTAAGAAACAAGGGAAGTTCCAGAGCTGATGTCAGTCCCTATTCAATACTATTAATAACAAAAAACACTTAATGAAGATTACCCTAATAAGGATCCAGTCTTCAAACGACAACCAATCTGGACCATCCTAAAAAGAAATAGCAAGTAGCGTACCTACTAAGTAACTGCAAAAATTTTGCTCTCTTATCATACAACTCCAACCAAATGAAAGTGTTAGACATTGTTGCTCTAGGGCCGTATGGTTGGTAATTTTCATGGAGAAATGATTTTCATTAATTTTGCAGCTCATTTTTATCCCCCAAATTTTAACCACAACCATCACTTTAAAAACTAATTAACAGGCAATGCAGAGCTGAAACTACTATTTTTAAGTCAGTAGAGGTAACAGAATTTTCATCTATTATTACATATTCCACTATAAACCATGTACACATGTATTGAGAAGCTAGTACTGTGGATCTAAGTAAAACGAAGTTTGCAAGCTGCCGGCCACAAATACAAACATTAGCTTATAAAAAAATTTTGGAGAAAAGGCAAAATATTGGACCCTTGAAAATTACCAACCATACAGAATAATGCACACATAACAGTAAATAAATAACAGTGTTCATGCTAATAATAAATATAGTTTTGTGATTTTTTTAAACAGACTAACAATTAAAGAAAGTGATTGCTTGGTTTGCTGACAAGAAAAACTTAAGACAGAACAATACAGTTTTGTAAAATGTGATAAAAGTTAACACAGTCACAAAGTGTCACAAGACAACTAAATTCAGATTCAAGAATTCATATAAGCACATACATGTACATGCACATTTTACTAAAGCTACATGTACATGTAGCAACTTGAAACTTAGTATAAGTGTAGTAGGATCACAGTAAATCAGTAATAATTTTAGATTGGCAAGGTACTCTAAAAGTATGTAATTACGCTTCATTTTATTACACTAATGAATTCTTTAAAATACCATTTGCAACTCATTTTTAGTCAAAATAATTTTTTTGACCTTAACTATAAAACAGATGAAGCTCACTTGACCAAAAAGCATTGAATTTGAAGCAGAGCATTCTGATACATGCACATGTACAATGTACATACACATGTACGTGTATATCACCCAAAGATTTATGGGTTGCTATTATCTTTAAGCTACACTCCGTTCAAAAGTTAGAATTCTTTCTTAGCTAACAAAGCCACACCAAGATGACAAATAAAAGCAACAACAGTCACAGCAGTAGATATACATGTACAACATGCAGATAACGAACTTAAAGGACAAAAAAGAGCATGCATGTTGCAGCCATACTAGGACAGAGATACATGTGCAAGTGACCAAAACATGTAGCTCCCTTTCGGCCACCACTGAAACTGATTATATGACTGATCTAAAACTTGATTATTAGGCTTTCACTTCAGCAACAACTTAATTTGTCTACTTATTTGATGAATCTGTCTTTACCTTCTTACTCTGTGGTGACAATTTTCTAATCCGAGTAGACATCACATCTGGAGTATAACGGCGCCAAAATAAACTTTGCGGGTATGATATATTTTCCCTATGAAAATAAATAATTTAGTTATACAACAATAAAATAATTGACACCGTTTAAACTTCGTTGTTCCCTTATGCATCTTCCGTGTAGGTTCTAAAAAAAATTTAGTAACTCTGACATACATACTTTACTACACATGGATGTAAAGCTACACTACACTTTTAATACACGATCTTACTGCAAGTGACATATCCTACCCTGTATAAATGTTAATGTGATGTATGTATATGCACCATCATTTAGCTTTATGCACATCATATTGGCTGTCAATAGCTGCAGGCTAGTATCTGACAAATTTCATTCGCTCCCATGATAATGCAAGATTTGTCCACTGAAAAACAACAGTAACAAAGTCCCTTTTTCCATTTACTTTATATGCACACACATACATGTACATGTATCAGCATTCAATTAATACTTTACATCCATATACATTACAGTATCTTTACTCAAATTGTGTCTCAAGTTCAAAACTTACTAGGTTCACAAAAAACTTTGTGCAATCCAAATACATCATAATCTTCATCACTAAAAATAGGGTAGAGGAAATAATAGTCATCAAAAATGATATCATAGCCATATACATCATTCTATTATTGATACTAACAGGGAAATCCAAAGCTGGTACATGTGTAATGGTATCAAAAAAGTATACTGTAATCAATTAAAGTAAGACTGCAAGAGAAAACATCAGGTTAAGATATTCTGGCAGGACTCCGTTGCAAAATTCACATGTGCACAAAAAATACATCAAACGTACATGTAATTCAATCAGTATAATCATTGAATTACCACTCAGCAATACAAAATCCAAAATTACTGGTAAATTGCATGAAACTAATCCGTCAACAATAATTTTCCAACTGAAAACAATCCATAAAACATGCACAGCCTGCAAAGGACTTATGCAGTACGAGCTTGTATTACGCAACTACATGAACAAAAAACTTATACCAAGTTCAAAACAAAATTAAAGGCAATAACATTGAATAAAAACTGCTTTGTGATGGCAAAATTGTACCTGTACACAACAGAGTTAGACAATGAATCTGGACCCATTAAAGTCGCATCATACAACATTTCCATAGGTATATCAACATAGTGGTCAATTAACTCATCACTGGGAGGTGTAGGTGGTAACCACAGCTATAAAAAAATACATTGATGTTCTTAAAAACTCATTAGTTACTCACAGGCATATCATCTCCTGAAATTTCATCAACCAATATCTAAATAATAATTTTACTCATTATTACTATTATAACAACTTTCACTGCATGCATGTGACAAGAACTAGTATTTCTGCTTTTGATGAGGCCAGCTATTAGCAAAATTATGGTGCACTGACAAGTGTAGTATTGGTGCTAACTAGTTTTAAGAGTCCAAATGGAAAAATTATTCATCTTATAAAAATAAATGCCAATGCACCATGCAACAACTATGCACTCAAAAGTAACACCAATACTAGCACTTGTCACAGTGTCACTTTTTCTTATATACTGAATTTCATTTTACAAGAATATTTTACAACAAAAAGTTGGCTTGATTATTACAAAAAAAGAGATTGGTTACTAGCAACAGAATCGTTTTGTGACATACAAGAACACAACAAATCTTGCTTCAACCGCTTCCGAGTTCTGGAACTGATACTTTCATTTTCATCTATATGAACAGGAGAGAACAAAGTTCCACTGGCACTGTTTTTGCAGATATCAGAATGCTTCTCTAAAACAGATTCAGTAGCACCTTGATGGTGAGAAGTACTATGGCGTTCATTTATAATATTATTCTTTGAACATTTATGACTACTTAATTTCTTCTTGCAAGAAATTTTATTGGCTTTATCATCAGATAAATTATAGCTGGCCTCATCAATAGGACATACTTCCCATGTTCCAGTTGACAAACTACGTCTAAATATAACCTTATTAATTAGTTCAGGTCGATCATATGTCAAGTCTGTTGCACCTTCCTCAATTAATTCTTCCTGTGCAACCTTTTCCTCTTCTTCTCTAAGCCTTTGCAAATGTCCAAGTTCCCATTCCTTTTTAGCAATTTCAATGTTTTCCTAGGACAAGGTATAGAAAAGACTTCATTAGGTCACAAAAATTATGCTTACATAAAGATTTACTATATGAACGTATATTCATCAATTACAAAATACTTACTTCAGCTTCACGCATGAGCTGCTCAACTTTTTTCAAACTTTCTAACTCCAATAAACGCATTGCATATTGCTCTACACCACTAAGTTGTTCACTTAAATGAGAAAACTCATCATCAAAAATACTTCTAGGAATATCTTCATCTTTAGTCTAAAGATAAAAAGAACAGAAAATGTCAAATTATATGTCACCAGTTGGTACATGGAAAATAGATACTGTATAGCTATAAATTTTTGAGGCATAAAATTTCAGCAAATTGCTATGAAAATTGCTTCTGTAAAGTTTAATTCTAAGAATTGACAATGTCTTTTAATTTTTTGGGCCATTAATTTGTGCACCAAAATTTTGAGGATAACATGCTTGCCAATACTACTTGTACATTCAATGTCTCCCAAAGGTTCCAAACAACAAAAAGTGCACATATGCAGACCAATACAATAGAGCATCAAGGACTATGCCCAAGAACATATAAACAAGTACATGTACATTTATATGTACAGTATGTCATGTATGTACCTGAATGCTATCTGATTGAGCCAAATATAGTTCATCGAACTCAGCTTTTTCAGCCACTTGTTCTGCTCTAGCCATTTCAGCAGCTTTGACATCACGATCTTCTTCTGCTTGCAACAACAACTACATGTATGAGCAAAAATTAAAGGTTATGTGACAAGCGTATTTATGTACACATAAAGTTGCATACAGCACTATTAGGTACAGTAGTAATAGTATCAATTAGTAATAGTAATAGTATACCGTATAGTGGAACATTTTCATGGCCCAAAATTTTCGTGCATTTCACGTTTTTTCAAAATCCACAAAAATAAAATCTGCAAAAATTGATTCAATACAGTTCAAGATGGCTGAAAAGTAGAAAACCACAAAAATTAAAGCCACGAAATTGATTTTTGAACAGATCCATAAAATTTTTGGGCCAGGAAAATTTTCAGCTATACTGTAGTACTGCACACTATATGTTCTATAATTTATCTGTCTACTTTTAACTCAGACACACATACATGTACATGTATACTCTATATGCATTTTTATTAATAGTTTAATTACAATGGTTCTCAGTAAAAAAAATACTAATAGGTAGTATAGTCGGTTCAAGTTGAGTTGTCACAGGAAGTAAATCAATTTTTGCATCATCAAAACGTCACTACTAGCCACACCCAAAATGGTGGTACAGTGCAAGCAAGCTCTTTTATTGAGTGTTTCTTCACCTCTAAGACTCTTTGTCATATGTTTTATCCTTGCTTTGGATACTACTATCTTTAATTATCACTAGCTGGACCTTTTTCTGTTATAAAGTTGACAAAGACCTCGGATACGGAAGATATCAACCTAGATTGAGGATGATGAAGAATAACTAGAACCAAGAAGGCTGTAGACAGATGTAGCAGTATGTTTCCAGTAGCAAGGTCTGCTAGTTGAATACCAGCTTCTCTAGAGGACCTTATCTGGTTGCTTTTATTTTATAAATAAAAAAACATTAATAGTAATGAAATGCAAATGATATTCACGAGTGTGATGTAGCCTACACGTAATGATTCATCATGGCGGCTCCCTTTGAACTAGAGCGGAAGAACCCATTCAGAACCTTCCAGAGTACCTAGAGACTCAAAAATTGGTACAGATTTTCGGAAGAACCCGTTTTGCAAGTATACTAAATTTCAGGTTGCTAGCATTAGTGATTAAAAAGTTATAAGGGGTGGTACTTGGGCAACTCAACTTGAAGCGACTATACATGCATGTAGATATACATGTACATGTACCTCTTCCAATTCCTCTGATGTAATTGCATCATCCTTGCCAGATAAATCTATATCTTGCGAAGTATCAACATGAAAGAGTTCACTAAGATTAGACTAGAGTGACAAAAAATTGAAAAACAGAAAGTAAAAGTACAAGTAAACATGTACATGTACATGCAGCAAGGCAACAATAATGACAATGACATTATAATAGAAGCTAATGCAAATGTAGTATACATGTACCATACTTATACTCAAATAAAAGCCAGGGTGGCTGCTTCTTAAAATGACTTTCAAATCTTAAAGAACAAAAAATTAAATTGTCATGTGGAACCAAGACTCAATGCATGTACACATGTACATGTACATGTAACTCCCAAGCTCTCATTGAAACAGACTTTGAATCAATAAATATGTACATGTACATGTACATGTACATGTACATGTACAGTGCATGCACTATCATTAAATAAACACTAAAACTTTAAAACAACAAAACACATAAAAATTAAGGCATACATGTGCATGTACATATGTCATCTACTAATTCATAGTAATTCAAATCTAAACATATGATAAATTCACAGCTGCTACAAAGAGTAAATACCTAGAAACAGCCAGACCAAAACGATCATATAACAGCTCAAAAATTTTTCATCAGTGAAAAATTTTGTCAAAATCTTAACTAATTTTCATTCATAAATAATCTGCATATTTCTGTAATAAATCTGCATATTACCCACGTCAAACAAAAAAATTTTGTCAGTTAAATAGTTCATCAACAAAAATATCTAGAAAAATTGACAGAAACTTGGAGTCATACAGTATTGGGATTGAGAGGAGTTGAGTCGTGTGGACATGGCCTAAGGCAATGTGCAATTAAAGCAGCAACTGACAGAGCAACTCACAATCTGCAGGACCAAAACATTCATTATGTAAATGTACCAACAAATACTAAAACATCAACAAGTCACTCCTTAAATCATTAATAAAATACATGTAGATGTAGGTACTAATCTACAAGTTACATAATAATACATATAATGTACATATTGTTGATTGATAAGTAAATATATGTACAAGTAGAACCAATGGTATATTATTTTGTTAATAAACCCTCCCATCTGAGAGAGCTGGCTCATGAGACCCAAAGGAATGACACGGAAGATGGTACAAAAGGAGCGTGCACCTCTGAGACACAAAATGGAACTCCTTGAAAGCAAGAGTTAAAGACGGCATCTAATCTAGTTATGAATCTTAGAATAGCTTTTAGTACAAGACTACAAGCATAAATGACAGACACATGTACATCACAGTGCATGCAGATTATAAATAATTAAATGAATACAATGCACATGTAACATACATTAAACATGCACATTACCATTAATATCTGCATACCTTTCTAAAAAAATCGGTAGTAAATCCCCCACTTTCAATAGCTAGATCTCCCAAAAGCCGTTTCTGACTAGCTTTCTTCAAAATGTTTTCTTCAACTGTTCTTTGACAAATCAACCTGAATGTCGTAGACAATTAGAATCAGAATAAGGCACAATACAAAGCAGCACTCAACAAAATAAATAATGTCAAATAAAAAGAAAATAAGGGCTCTATAGTACATACCCTCATGCATTTAAATCCCAAAATGAAGATTTATACGATTCTATTGCCTGAATTTGATTACATTGATACTTTTCAGGTCAAAACAAGAAGTTCCAGTAGACAAAAATTTTGTGTCAATATGACTCATAAGCTTTTCACAAAAGAAGAAATGATATCTTCCAATGTCACATACAACAAGAAGAGGACAAACCACATCAAAACTCTCACCCTCTGACACTACCCAGAGCAAAGCCAGTCAAGTGAAAGAATCAAGACAGAGTGGCAACAGTGTGTTGAAACAATTGATGCTGCTGCAAGAAATATATAGAGAAAGAATAACTCTTCTTCATAAAGTCATAGTATGGACATGATTACTATATATAATATTATAATCATAAAAATGCATGCATGAACATCAATCTCAATATCCAGATCCAGCCCCTTTAGCTTTGATCACTGCTGGTATAACCTTTTGTAGGTGGTCAATGTACTTTGTGCATACTGAACAATTAATGGTCCATTCCAAAAGCGCTTCATTCCCTCAATCAGTTCACCTTGAATCTTTGGTTTTATCACAGTCCTCAAATAACACTTTATTGACCCCCACACATTTTCTACCAGATTTAGATCGGGACTTTGAGGTGGAGTTGGCCACCAAATAATGCCTTTGTCTGCTAGGAATATTTTGGTGTATTTGCTCGAGTGCTTAGGATTGTTGTCCATTTGAACCCGATATGATGCTGGCATACTTTGAGTCTTTGACTAACATGACTAAGAAGCCCATCCTCTAGAATTCTACAGAATCGTGTAGCTAGCTGTGAGTGTCCCTTTGAATATGAATAAGGGAGTTGTTCTACTCTTACTGATCCCTGCCCAAACATGAGCCTTCAATGGGTGCTTAGGTCTTCCTTTCAGTTTCCTTGGCTCGTTTCTCTTTCCAAAGCAAAGTTTGCCAAGGAAATCTAATTGTACTGAGTCAATCGTCAGTCCATATAACATTGTCAAATGTGTCAAGGTTTTCTTGCTGCTTCAAGCACCATTTGAAACGCTTCTGTTTGTTCATCTCTCATAAAAGTGGACAATATTGTGGTCTTGTTGCTAACCAACCATGAAACTTCCTGGCTCTTTTCTAAATTTGGCCATTTAGAAATCATTATGCCTCGCAGAAGCCTCGCTGTCAGCTCACCATTTTCAGCCAAAGCCGCATTAATAAAAATGAGCCACTCCTTTCGAATTTTTGGCAAAACTGTGCGTATCTCAGTAAGTCAGCAACTGTACCAAATAAGCTCCCTTTTTTGATCAGTTGGTAAAGTCACACTTTGCTCACCAACAATCCTTCCTCTTTAAGCCTCTGCTTTATTTTAGAAACAGAATACCCTTTGCTTCAAAACAATACCAGTTATACCTCCCTTCCTCTTGTTTCTAGTGATAATCTTGGCATCTTTGAATTCTGTTTAAACAGATGGTCATGCTACATGCACACACTACAAGCAATACCATCATTACCATACATGTACATCAATACACACAACCGTATGGCAAGCCAATAGTATCAAAATTCGACTACCTCATACGACGACATAAGAATGCTCACACGACGACTCAAGATCACACGACGATTTAAGATCACAAGACGACTTAAAACTCACGACGACTTGTATAAGTTGTATTTATTGTTTTTAAGAGGGAGGGGGAAATATTAATTATTTAATTTTAACCCTTTGTAAACTGAAGAAATCGAATAAAAATGGCAGAGACTGCCATCAGTTGGACTGATCGTCAAATCTCCTTATTGTTGTATTATAAATACTCATAACTGGGCCCGGAATTGTCAAATCATTATACTTACTAAGAATAATTACATTCACAATAATGATAATAATAATTCCAAGAGAGGTGCGGAGGGAAGTAGAGGTAGCATTAAGAGAAAAAGTTTGAGACACTCAATGGTATGCTCACAATAATTTCCATTGGCAATACCATACTGTCTGCCACAGGATAACAAGAAAGATGATATTTGAGAAAAATAATCAGTCCAACTGATGGCAGTCTCTGCCATTTTTATTCGATTCCTTCAGTTTACAAAGGGTTAAAATTAAATAATTAATATTTTCCCCCTCCCTCTTAAAAATAATAAATACAACTTATACAAGTCGTCGTGAGTTTTAAGTCGTCTTGTAATGTTAAGTCGTTGTGTGATCTTAAGTCGTCATGTGAGCATTCTTATGTCGTTGTATGAGGTAGTCGAATTTTGATACTATTGGCTTGCCATATAACCACACTAACTAACTATAAGATACACTACAAGTCACACTATACTATAATATTATGTTAAATGATAAAAATGCTCTTATAAAAATAAACTATATGCACTAGTTTATATGTAAACTACCTTAAAGCCACTTATTTTTAAGTACACAAATATTTGCAATTTGTTAATAGTATTGCTTTAACATGTACTATTTTTTGCAATTTTGCACATTTTTTCCATTTAAATAACTATTAATAAACGTAAATTATTAATAAATGCGAGTAGTAACTTTCGCGATTTTAAAGCCACTCGCAGAAAATGCAAAAATTAATACTAGCAAATAAGTGGCCTTAAGGTATACTAGTGTAATTCTTAACTTGGCCGTAAGCACTGCTGTACATGTACAATTTACAAATGTATAGCTCTTGGCTTGTTCTTTTAGAAATTTTTCCAGCAATCAAGGTCAGCATTAAGCAAGCCATAAAGGTAAATCCTGCTTTTCTAAGCATTAAAGTTATGTATTTTATTATTATTCATAGTTTCATTAATTAGAAACTTACACCATGCACCCATACAATAAAAAATTGAAAAGAAGAACTGTTGCTCAAGCAAGTGAACAGCTGAGCAATAAAACAGTCTCTTATGATCATAGACTTCTAAAAAAACCATCATGATGACTCAATCATTAAATTTTTAATACTATAATTTTTATCATAGAAACATTTTTGTAGCTACCAGGGACAATTTATAATGCTATATAGTACAGTAGTACTATCTATGCTCCCAGAATGAGAGCACTAAAGTATGTACCCTTGCCACAGTATGTACATTGTATAAGTAACAGTTTTAATAGATTAAATGAAAGTTATAGCAAAAGTTTTGAGAAAGAAACTCCAGCATGTTTGCTACACAGCTGCAGCCATGTAAAGGTGAAGCTGCAATGAAGGTGTGGATCACTCAAACTACATGTACATGTATGCTCTAAACACACACACAATACATAAAATGGTGACACATACAACGTAGGCTCAGTGGTAAAACAAAACGTTATTTTTCTCTACTTCTTAAACAGTTTATCACACATTTGTTTGGCTTTATTTGTTGCATAAAAACTTTGACTCTAACCCCGCCCCCTCATCTATAAGAGGCCTCATGTAAACTTACAAGGTAAAAAATTTTTGGGCTATTATAACTGAAAAAGAAAGATAAGTAGAGCAATTTTTATACACCAATGAAATATAAGCTTGTGTTCAATTGTTTCACTTGTCACGTTGCTCTTTTGCTCACAACACAAAAAGCTACAGCTGAACTAACTGTGTTCAGCAACTTTGCCCAATTCTTTTGCCATGGAAAAGACAAATCAAGCATTTCCAAGATGAAGAATAACTTTCTTGTGGGTCAGTGTTGATTATAAAGGTTTGCAAGACTTTTGAGAAAGTACATGTAGTTTCACATAAAAAAACTGAGTTCAAGCAAACATACACACAACACGCACAGACAAAACAGCCACTTTACTCTCACTTAATGCCTACACATCGCTCGGGCAATGTAAAGTAAGAAGGAGCTAACAGAATAGTGGTTACAATTGTACGTACTGTATAGTTTGAGGGTGCTATACATGTATGTGCATCTCTAATAATAACTAAAATCTATTCCACAAAACTGAGGAGTGGTTTTGAGTAAGGTCTAGGTGGGCAATTGAAGCCAGACGTTGCCCCAGCCTAAATCTACCTAAGGATACAACACAACATGTACATTGTACATGTATGTGTAATTGTGTACAAAGGCAATACTTACACAGTATCTGCATACACAGTACATTAAAGTCCTAACAAGTACATTAAAGTCCTAACAAGTACATGTACATTGAGTACATATACATTATGCACATGTATACATGTTAGAGTACCTATAAATATGAACATCTCTCGTTTGACCAATCCTGTGACAACGATCCTGTGCTTGAGCATCCATTGTTGGATTCCAGTCAGAATCATAAAAAATAACAGTATCAGCACCAGTCAAATTAACACCTAAGCCTCCACTTCTGGTGGACAGTATAAAGCAAAAAACTCGAGAATCTTTGTTGAATTGCTCCATTAATAGCTACATGTAAGCAACAAAGAATTAATAATGTGTACAAATATGTGCATGTCCATGTACAACAAAAAATAAATAAAAATGCAGTAATTATTACCAAGAGTAGATAGTAATTAGAGGAGTGTCCTACTGGCTATAAGGTCTGATTCATCACAGCCTAGAATTGAAGCATCACATTCCAGTTATTTCCGTATTTTATTTGAGTAGTTATAGTTATTGCTAGTTATTTTTGAATAGCTACTCAAAAAATACGGAAATAACAGGAATGTGACTCTTCAATTCTACGACATGATGAAGCAGGGGGTATAGGCACAGTAGGACACTCTCCTCTAATTATTATCTACTCTTGTTATTACTACAGCAAAATGATTGTATTACCATAAATTCTCAGTATTATAATTTACATGTACATGTAAATAACCTACCTGTCTTCGTTGAACTGGTGTTGCACCATCTAATCTCAAGTATGTGTAGGCATGAAAAGTTAAAAATATTTCTAAAATATCCAACATCCGAGACATTTGTGTGAATATAAGAACCCTAATTTAAAAATAATGTACATGCATGAAAAAATACAATATATACATGAATACATGTACACGTACAGTGTACATGTATTGTAAAAGTATATAGTTATTTACATGTACAAGTAAAATGTGCTATACTGTAGAACATAATATCAAAATAAAAATTCATCCATACTCAACTAAATTTCATCAAAATGAGTCTTTTGACTTCAATTACAACACATACAATAAAAGAATAAAACAATAAATCATGTCATTTTAATCAAACATTTTAAAACACACATTTTACAATACAAATGACATACATCACTATATTTAAAGGCAGTTAAGGCATAAATGTGGTATAGCACAAAAATGATCTGTAAAATATGAGTCTCATGATGTCTGTCTGACAATAAGTCAATGAACTATCTAAAATTGTTAGTTTTCTAATAACCATATGTAAATGTACAATACATGTATCGCATATCCTCATAAAAGAAGTGAGGTAAAATCAAACCTTGGCTCACAATAAAATTGAATTATAAAAACACAGCTCCAGACTTACAGTGCCATCTGTGCCTTGTATATACCTTTCATAGTGTCAAAAATGCTCTTTGCATTAGGTCATGGGTTTGAATCGCAGATACCACATAAATGTACATGTAAGTTTCATTTTGATATTAATTCTTTTCAAGATTCAAAAGTGAAATTAAGATGCCTGGGCTTTGATTTCAGATATTACAGTACATGTACATGTACATTGTATACACTTCGCAATTATGCTACTTTTGCATAGGTAGTGCATTACTCTTTTGCTGTCTAATGTACCAGTTGTAGTAGTAGCACACATGGTCTGCAGCAGAAAGTAGTTCAATGGTGGAATGGAGTGATAAACACTAAACAGGCTTTTAAAAGAAATGTGGCCGTACAGATGAACGTGAACAACACAGAAAGCCAAGTGAAGCATTGACTTGTTTGAGACCTTGCTAAGCATGGGAGCCTTCATTACTATTGTACATGTACATGTAAATGTAGGAAGGGCCAGTATACTATCTAGGCGTAATGCATCGCAGAGTAGCAAAGTAAAATGGATACAAGTACGTGTACATGTACATTGTACCTACAAAGTTGTCTTACTTGTACATCTAATTTAGCTTTTTTTATTGCAGTGTACTAAAGCAAGAAAATTTGAATGTTAAAATTAGCCAAATGAGAGTAAGAGACTACAAGGCTTGGCAGATTAAATTTTGGCAAAATTACAACCATTTGCTAGCTAAAACAGAGTAAAGGGCTAAATTTTTGGCAAAAAAAACAACTCAATAAATCTATCAAATTTTACTCCACTTAATTTTTTGGCTACATGTCATGCATACAGTGCATGTACATGTACGAGGTTAACAGCAGAAAGCATTACAAGTGTCATTTCACATGTACCTATGTCCTTCAGTCCGAAGTCTTCTTAAAAGTAAATCCAGGGTTTGCAATTTACCTAATAAAATGTAATTTTCAGAACAAAAAATGATAAACATGTACACAAAATGAAGAAATACATTAATTACCACATGTACATTGTAACTCAACTTTGAAGTGTATGTACATGTAAAAGTATCATTGTTAGTGTATGTCACATGCAATATAGCTTACATACATGATACAGCACAGCAACATTTAAAAACTGTAGTGGCTAAAATTCACAAATAATTTTTTCAGTACACCATAACGCAAAATATCATCTCAAAATTCAAATGATAAGCATTTTTCACAACATACCACAATCGTATTGTATCAATCTTGTTTCAGGAAACTGGAGTTTAAAAGAAACTGAAACAGGATAGAGTGACCCAGCAATTTGAGATACTGTCAAGTACAACAACTTATTGTTTGCAATATCCTTTTGATAATTGCTAGGATCAGGATGACTTGTATGTAATGTGATAGCAGGTGCACTAACAGACCAAACTGTCAATAAAAATCTACCACAATTACCAAAAAATAAATTTATAATTTTACAAAAATATCGTACCTTTTCAGAACATCATGTAGTCCAGCCATTCGGTTGTCATATGAAACTAGCATATGCCTTAATGCTTGAGTACTGCACAAAATCAGATCTTTAGCTGGTAGTACTTGTTGCAGCTGGCAAAAAAGGTAACCAGTCCATAACCAAGAATACTGACAAAATTTCATAAAATTAATCTTAGGCATGTGAGTTGTTAGCACGGCTAATCTCATGTCTTCTCCATACATCGGTTGTTTACGACAGCGAAAACTGTTTATACGATGTAAAGTGTCTCTCATAATCTTTTCTCTGTCACTCAAAGAATCAACCTACAAAATGAAAAAAAAATAACAGTTAAATGTACAGGTATAGTTTGTACTTCATCCACTACTTGAGTAGCATGTGTACTACAAATATGATGTCTTAATTGTTTGTAAATGTACATGTATAAGCCAATACAGTGAGAAGTACTGACATGTACAATGCACTTTGGTTATACACCAAGATCACTGATAATCTCAATTCCTTCATGGCTTTCTGTCTATGTAAAAGTTTCCTTTCTTTGGCATAGTGAAGCCTCAAAATACTGAGATCATGTATAGTCAGTTCAAGTTGAGTTGGCACAGGAAGTAAATCAATGTTTGCATCACAAACGTCATTCCTAGCCACACCCAAAATGGTGGCAGAGTGCAAGCAAACCCTTTTATTGAGCGTTTCTTCACCTCTAAGACCTTTTATGGTCTGTTTTACCCTTGCTTTAGATACTACTACCTTTATTTATCACAGGCTAGACCTTTTCTTTGTTACAAAGCTCATACGAACTCCAGATACCGAAGATAGCAACATACTGTGAGGACGACGAAGAATAACAGCGATCCAGATGGCTGTAGACAGCCACAGCAATTGTTTCCTAGTAGTATAGACTGCTAGTTGACTACCTGCTTCTCTAAAGGAACTTATCTGTCTGCTTTTATTTTATAAAATAAAAAACATTAATTTTGTCAAAATAATAATGAGATGCAAATGATATTTACAAGTGTGATGTAGCGTAAAAGCAATGATTCATCATGCCAGCTCCCTTTGAACTACAGCAAAAGAGCCCATTAAAAACCTTCCAGAGTAACTAGAGACTCATAAATTGGTACAGATATTTGGAAGAACCTGTTATGCAACTATACTAAGTTTCAGGTTGCTAGCATTTTATGGGGTGGTGCCTGTGCCAACTTAACTCGAACTGGGTATATGCATAAAATTATTTGTGCATTCAGTAGAAAAACCATTTGAGGAGTTTTATAAGTTTTTTCAGATGCCTGTGAGTTTGAGGTACATGTACATGTACAATGTACAATGTAGTATAAGTGATTTGAATTACATGTGCCTGCGATGCAGCAATCTAATTCATTAATACATAAATGTCACCATGTACAATGTGCATGACAAAATAAATGTAAATTGACATTGAAGCAATTAAGGATTTTCCCAACATAAACAAGTACAATAAAACATGAATCACTTTACATGTACATAACACATACTAAATCAACCCAAGGGTGACAACGTTCCTCCATGGTGACAAGATTGTTATCTATATGTCCGTCTTCACAAACATGCGAATTCAAATCTTGAAAAGCTGAACGAGGGGCTTGAAGTTGTCGAGAACGATAAGCAACAAAAGCATCTAGAGTCTGTTCATTAGATGCCAAGTTTAAATTTAAGTTGTCCATGGAAATATACTATAAAATATATAATTTTAAATGAAAACGAAACAAAAATTACAGACAGAAGACATATGATGAGCATTCTTCTTTACAAATGTATTTTACAAAATGAGTCAATAACACATATACTATGCATTAAAGCACACAAAAACAAAGCATATTCAAGTACAGGGGATAGGTACATGTACAAGCGTATAAATGTATGTTAAATTATAAATAACACCATAAATTGAAACCTATGATGAAGACTTCAATAAACAAATGTACTGGTGTTATTATTGATGTTGGCCACGTGAAATTATTGAAAGAACCATATTCTTCTATCAACATTGGATTAATGGCCAATAAAATAGAAAATGAAGTAATAAATAATAATTATAGATGAAGTACAGATGTATCAAGCACATAATAATTAGTATGGACATATGTGACTGGATTTGACAAACCAGGCTATCTGTGGGGGAATTACCAATTACAGATATGGCTTCCAGAAGTGTTGACAGTGGTACCTTATCAAAAGCATATAAATCAGAATGATAACCTGGTTGCTTAACACTTGCCTACACAAGGCTTCAAAAATGTAAATTAGTTCATAATTAGTAGCTGCATAAAAAATGGTTTCCAAAAATGTATATTCATCATTCAGTTACACCTACAAGCAAATTCATGTAAAATGTACATGAACATGTTTGGAACCATCAAGCTACTTTTGAAAAAAGTCAATCAAATTTAGATAAAATTAAAATCACGTACCACTGACTACAACATCAGTGACCTTGCATGCATACATGGACATGTACATTAAATGGTGAAAATAACTTTAAAAAACAAAATATGTTCCCACTACCCTTACATTGACAAAACCATTTAAACTTTATTTATAAAATAAAAAACTGGATGTAGCAAATACACATGCAAATGTAGAATTACAATGTACCTTAAAAGGATCACAAGATAAAGCAGACACTACCATTGATGCAGTGGCATACACAATGCCTGCCATACAAAAAGGTGATGCGACAGGCCGTAACTCAAACAGATCTGGATGATTACACACCTACAGTGTATATGTACATGACAATGATGACATATACAAGTACAAAAAACAATGAAATAATATAAATAAAGTATAGCACACAAAATTGTATACAGTACATGTACAGTATGTACGTGCACAGTACCTTTCTCAATTGCATCAGAACATTAATGACACTTAGATAGCTTCCAGCAGAGAGAGTTTCCTTGGTTCTAAAATTAAGAATTCACAATAAGTATCTGAGTGAAGCTGCCAGTATAAATCAGCTAACCAGGGCCGCCAATAAGCTACATGGGACCATGGGCAAAAACTTAGATGGGGCCCCTACAAAATACTAATTAATACAAATTGCCCCCTCCCCCTTATTAACAACAGAAAGAGTGGACAATTCCACTCTTGATAACAGGGATTAACAAAATGGCCCAGAAAGAGAGTTGTCACAATTAATTGATTTTTTTCCGTAAAACTATACAGTACTTTACTGTGAACCATGGGCTTGGGGGCCCGGGCAAAATGCCCCACCCACCCCCCTATTGGCAGCCCTGCAGCTAATTTTGCAAGCTCAAAAGTTTTTAGTGCATTAATCAATCAAATACATGTATACAATCAACATGTCATGTAGACATGTACATGCATGTACAAGTACATAATAAAATTGATGCCAGGTCCTGTACAGCTACATGTATTATAAGATCCAATGAAAAAGGTTGCACATGCACAGCATCAGTGATACACATAATACATGTACAACATACAAAACTACTGGTATATCAGCAAACTACTATACATGTAATGATGTAACATGAGCTGTCAAACAGCAAAATAAGAAACCATCAACTTGGAATTTCAAGGAAATCACTAAAATTAATAAATTAACTCCAATATAATGCATTATATTTACATACATGTACATTATAAAGTGATTAATTCATTACTTGGCTCTAGACATGTACTCCTCATATAGAAACCGCTGCCTCTTTGACAGTTTACATAATATCACATGCTCATACTTGCTGGGAAGCTGTTTTTCAACTTCTACCTTCAATCGCCTTAAAATAAAAGGTCGAAGAACCTACACGTAAATAGTATACACTAATACAATGTGGACTTCAAAACATAATCTTATATCTGACCTTATGTAGTCTCTCCACAATTGATTCATTATACTCCTGACTGCCTTCAACCATCCCTGTTAAAGGGTTTGAAAACCACTCACGAAAGTCAGAATGAGATGAAAAAACAGTGGGCATTAAGAAATGCATTAAAGACCATAACTCCATCAAGTTATTCTGTAATGGTGTACCAGTAAGTAAAAGCCGATGCTGACTACTGAATGTCAAAAGGGTTTGCCATCTCTGACTTTTAAAGTTTTTAATATTCTGAGCCTAAAAATTAGAATAATAGAAACTTTGGTAAAAGAGCAAAAACTTTAAGATGTACATGTACTTTACTGACTATTTTGTGATACTGCAGTAATTTATAAAGTAGTTAACAAATGTTTTGACATACCTCATCTAATATTAAATATCTCCATCTTTTCTGCTTAAAAGCTCTGTGATCTTGAACAGCGATATTGTATGAAGTGATGCAAACATGAAAACTATTTTGTCTTGACCAACCCTAATAAATAAACGTACACATTGAAACATATAGCAACAACGTTCAAAAACAAGGAATGCATATTAGAGGCAAAAACCACCCATTAAGAGCCCATCATACATAACAAGAAAGAATGCTAATCATCCACAATTTACATTTTTTTCCTAAATAGTGAGCTATAAAATCTATCTAAGTGTTATTTCAATTGTTAGTTAGTACATTAATTCCCTTACTTACTTACTAAGCAATCAAAAGACTTATCAAAGTTCTGGTAAAATGTACATGTAGAGTGCAATAATTGTACTAATATACTACTGATGACACACATCAAAGGTACCGTGTGCACTATAATCCAGCAAGACCCACCAGTGATCTAAGCCACCCACAACAGTGATCTAACCCACCCACAACGATAATATAAGCCACCCATAATTCAATTAAAGATTTTTATTATTATTTTGAGTAAAAAAAACATTTATATTCTTGATGGACTGGTGCATGATAGTACCAATTACACGAAGAGGGCTGCAAAAATTTTGTCATTGCCGGAAAACCTCTGCAGGATTACCAATTACACAAAGAGGGCTGTAAAAATTTCATTGATAGGAAAACTTCTTATGAAAGTCATCGTTCCAAGGAGCCATGCCTTGATGTTGTATTCTGTACTGTTTGCTTTCTCGTTTGGATCAGATCCGGCTTTGAATGGGTCTACACTTACGGTGTATCCATCCGGTGTTTCGTCATATAATGTCTTCTTCTAGCTCTGGCACTGTTTCCATCTCTTTTTCAAGCACAATTTCGATGTCTTTATCGCCTGATATCTTGCTTCTTCTCAATCTCTTGCTCACAAGCTCCTCCAGCCATTATTATTCAATGTCAGCACGTGGTAAATCTGCGCATGCGTTTGCACTGAGCCTTTGATGTTCATCATCATGACATAAGTAACTTATAACATGGCTAGTTTGTCATGTATCGAATTTACAGTCACCTCCCCTTGGGTGCAGGCGCCCTCGGGATCGGTGACTGTAAATTAAATACATCACTCCTAGCCATGTTAGAAGTATGATTTTCCTCATTATCTAACTTCATAGCTATGCTTAGACTTTGCATGTGTTCATTCCTGCGTGGGCCTTCACATTTGACAAAGTTTATTAATGTTTTTTTCTTGCATTATGCATACCAGGAACTATAAGTAGCATGCATGGATAGCAAATGGTAGATGCATGTACATACAGTACACATGTATGTACATACATGTACATGTACATCATACATGCAAGTTACAATACAGTGGTTTAAATAAGCTAAGTAGCTACTCCGCAGTTATTCTACTGTTGCATAGGTACAAGTAGTTCGGTGCTCTTCGTTGCGCATGTGCAATGTGACAGTGATAGTAGTGCACGTGGTCAGTAGCAAACAGTAGCTCGACGTAGAATCAAGCAAAGACCGTCCTAAACAGGCTTCTAAAAGCAGAGAGCAGCAGCAGAGATGAACTTGGAGGGCACAGACAGCAAAAAGAAGCATCTTCAAGTCCTTCGAGAGCCTCTAGGGTGAGTGAGCGCTTGCTACTACAGAACATGTGACTGGGTGGTACTGGGCGTAGCACAGCGAAGAGAAACGAAGAGTAGCGAAGTAAAATAACTACCTACAAACTACCTACAAAGTTCTCTCCTCTACTGTGCTCTACTTTTGCTACTTAGTTTTTGAAAGCACTCTACTATATTTTAAGAGAGAGAAAAAGGTTGGATTTTTATGTTAGTATGAATGGTTTATCTGTTTTTGGACTTACATGTATTTCAGTGGCTTGGCTAACATGTACATGTACATGTAGCTAGCACTTAAATCAAGTAATCTAAATGTCTAAATGGTGCCTTTTAAAAGAATTATAATCATAAGCAGTATGATGGTGAAGATAAAGTGCTATGCATGTAGTAATGCTGCTATAGTTCCTAAAATATACTTTAGCAAGATTATCTTTGTTCATGGTACAGTAAGATGATTGATTATGAAGACACCCTACTGATGTATAGACAGAAGAAAAGGAGACTAAAGAGAGATTTTAATTTTATTCCCTGCTAATTACTTTAGCTGTCCTTCAAAATTACTGTATTTTTGATCAAAAAGATAAAGCAATCAAAACAATAACAGTATGTAGATGTGCAACTAGATGATTTGTATTGTACATTGTACATGTGAATTAACTTTTTGACACAACAGTTATTATTAAGAGTGATAAGTGCATCCGTAGAGCATAGAAGGAATATTAACACTCAAGAATTCTAGAAACATGCAAAAATAGAACAAGCAAGGCCCTTGCAAGGAACATGCCAGGAACATAGTGCTTACATGCAAGGCCCTTGCTAGGAACATCCTAGGAACATGCAAAAATCACAATTCAATACCATACATAGAACATGTATAGAACATGCAAGGAACTTCCCATAAGGATAAAATATGAATAAACTTACAACTCTTTTTTGTCTTCTCTCCTTAAAGGTACCAATGTATGTCAGAATCTTGAAACCTGGACACCATTTCTTGAATTCAAATTCCCAGTTTAATATAACTGATGTAGGTACAATTATTAAGTGAGGACCCCAAACAGCTTTTTCACAAGCTAAATGAGCTAGTAGTGCAATTGTCTAAAAAATAAATTAGGTAAATTAATTTCAAAGTACAATAATATTGATCATAACATCACCCACATACATGTACATGTATGCACTCATAAAAATACCACAGGGCACCTTTTTTTCACATACTTCACTGAACTAAATTTTGCAATTTTGCTCAGAACCTCACTTCTCCTTACCCGTAGTAATGCACCAATACAGCATTTTCACCAACATGCCAATAGCTGATATAAAACATTCATTAGCTACCAATACAATAACCAATACAATATTTTAACTAATTATCAAATAAACGGTTTTAATTTATTAAATGGAATAACTGACTTCACCTGCAAATAGCATGGGCAACGATTATTAGTTAAGTGCGTTTTCTGTCATTCATTCATTATGTCCACCACAGCTCTCACTTTAAGGCTCTGTGGGGCTTTCCTACAGTCACCAAAACTTATCCATGGGCTAGAAAAAGTTACTTTCTACTACTTTATCAAAGTAAAGGGCACCATGCAAAAGCCATGAATACTGCCAAACATAGCAGGTTCTCGTTGCATTTTTTGCGCTTCAAGTAATAGGGCTTCTTAGTATCTCTGAAGAGTCACAGAAACTCGATCTGAAAAAATAATGTAGCATTTTGCTGGAACATTCTTTGTTTTGAAGATATGACTGCCTAAAAATCCCTTATGTCTTGACTTTACACAAGGCAAGTGTCCTTAGGAAGAATACATGTAGCTAAGGCTTATAAACTTATACTGTGTTCACACTACCTCTCCAGCTGTACAAAACTGTACCTAATTAGATTAGTTTGGTTATAAAAGAACCATGTTGGTAGCAGTTCACACTGCACAACTTAACAACACCAAATTCACTTTAAAACTTAACTACACCATTTCAGAGCACCTATTTTGGTGCACCACTTTAGCCTGGTTTGGTTTGATTACAGTGCAGTTCAGTTATGTTCACACTTGTTATAAAACTACACTATACTTCCCCAAAGCTCAGTTCCAGTACAGTTCTGAAGGGTAGTGTGAACAGGGTATAAGACGCTTGACAAGAGGTGATATGGAACAAATAGAGCCTATTAAATGTGTGTGCACTGAGTAGAAGTCCAAAAAACTCAAGCTTCTTCCAGCAGTTAGCCCAAAAGGTACCATTTTACTGTAGCAATCGAAATTTGACACTTTCCTGGACTATGGCAAATCTAGCAATCAAGGTTTGACACTTTCTTAGTATCGTAACAACTGACTGCATGCTGTCAGTTTGCAGCCACACTCAAACACCCTCACATCTTAATTAGACTATGAAGAATGCAAATAAAACCATAGAAATCAACACTATCTAGGCAAGTTAATGCAGTAGTATATAATATGCAGGACAAAATATAGTTTTGAAATCATACATGTAAAACAGATATTGTTTTCGTTTGTTTTGGCGAGGCCAATGCACAAACAGTGTCTCGTTTTAACTTCATTTTAGGTAAAACAGGTTTCACAATACAACAACTGAAAGACATTTCAAAGGATTACAAGGAGGATATAGCCACCATCTGTCATGAGACTGAAAAATGTGTTATACATGTAGCTTTGATTCAAGAAGCCTTTTAACTAAATTCTTCTCTTATGAGGGTAACTTCAAGCAAATTTGCAGAGAGTCTATTGTATGCACACTACGAGTTAAAGAAACCAAAAAGGAAAAGTTGTACTCTGAACTCAGCCAATTCTTATATATGGCACATTTTTGAAGTAACACAACAACAAAGTTCTGCAACATTGTAAATAGGCAATTACTACAGTCAAACCTATCTATTCCGGACACTTAGGGACTAGCATGAGCTGTCCTGAATATAGAGGTGGCCTTATTTCAGAGAATTGAATTTAAATTACATTTAAAACATCCTACATGTAGATCTGTGCATGAATACATGTTTATTATTCAAAAAGTCAGTTATAAGTGTCTGCTTAGCTGCTGCAGAAGCAGAGAGTGATACTACAGAATTTATTAAAGCACAACATTTTGTACCTTCAGAAGTATGGCCTTTATTTTCCAAATATGCAGAAACATCTTCCAAGTATTTGACAGCATCACTGTAACTTGTAATGACTTGCTGGGATGATGATAGCACATCTGTGTCCACCTCATCTTCATCATCATTGCTTTGTGTAACCGCGTCTTCCTCATTAGCAGGGTCTAATTCTCCAAAAAAATCTTCTTCCCAGTTCTCAGATGCTATGTTAGCATAAACTGGTATATTCTCTTCTACTTGTATTAATTCCTCTACAGAGCAAGAATTTGTTTGTTGGACTTGAGATACAAGGCCGCGTAGCTCGGCAATGTCATCATTACAGTCTACAAAAGGATCTTCATCAGATGGTGAAATAATTGGTGTAATAATGTCCATATTGTGATTCAATCTGCCAGCACTTCTAAAACATTTCCTGACTGTATCACTTGAAACCAATTTCCATGCTTCAGCTATCCATCTAATTGCTTGAAGAATTGATATATTCTTTGTTACATCTGATGCCAGAGCATGCTCATCGATCTTAGCAACAACATACCT